TTTCTTTACCCACAGAGACGGCCTCTCGATTAGTTCATGCGCGCCACCGCTATGAAACTCTGATCGAAGTTCCCATAAGCCTGAGTAATCTCCCCTATTATCTCTGCTGTGATGTCCCGACATTGACTCTAGAGATGGCGCTATAGATCGTTTGATTAAGTCCGCGAAATTCCAATCAGGTTTGAATAATTCAAATTATTAGACGTAATCCGGAGTTGAGAATTGAGGGAGAATAGTACAATGAACAAGGAAAAGCAATAACTTTTAAGCGAGAATAAACTGTTGATGGAATTTTAGACTCGAGTGTTTGGGTCTGCGATTTGTTAGAATATTTTATAGCTCTCCAAATTCTCGTGGAGTAAACACTTTTTCTAGGTGTCAAATTTAGGGTCGAATTTATTGGACAGTTACGGTCCTCACTCGTCACGATCTCGAGTTCTGTTTGTATCAACAGTTTTACGGCCTCACGTGCGCAACATGTGTGGTGCCTTTTGTTCATTGTGTTCCCCTGGTTGAGGGCCTAGAGTCCCTCCAAGAGGAAAACCTGCGACGCAAAATACTCCCCTTTTCTCCTTTTCCGCTTCTCCGTTTTCTCTTTTCCCTTTCCTCAGGGCCTAGTTTGCGTGCGCAACTCTTAGATTAGTGGGGGTTGTTGGACCCAACCCTTGGAAGTTTTAGTTTAGGATAGTTCAGTTCCTACACAAGCCTTCTGCTTGCTGCTTCTCTCTTCAATTTGTTAAGTCCATAAGTGTTTTATTGAGTTTATTCTTTGATCGTTTAAAGTCTTGACTTTATTAAAATAAAGTGTGTTCAGTGCTCCCTAAATCATCAGTGTCCACGTTATTTCGTCTATCAACCTGCTCCACATAAATAATCCTGTCAACTATTAAATTGAATCTCGATGGAGTGCTCATCAGAGCTTTGGCGGCCAACGTTCCCGCACTCAAACCTGGCGCTTAATTTTTTAATTGGCGCTAGTGTCCCACTAGTTACATTGTTGAAACGATTGGGACGTAACACTGCTTTACATTGGCCCTGTTCATCTCCCCTATAATCTCTGGTGTGATGTCTTGACGTTGAAATTTATAGATGGCGCTATTAATCGGCCATAATAGTCCGCGAGATTCAAATTATTGTTGGAAAATAATTTAAATAGTTCAGGAAATTAAAAATATACCAGAAATAGAAGAATAAAGAAAGTCTGGAATACAATGGACAAAGAGAACGAAAAATAGCATCGCAAGCGTGAGAAAAACCGTTACGGAAATAGTAAATGTCAAATACTTGAGTTTTGCTCTTATAATTTACAATCCTCCAAATTCTCGTTGAGTAAACACTTTCCTCGAAAATCCAAATTTAGAGAAAAAAATAAATTTAACGGTTACGGTCCCATGTCGTAAAATCTCAGTTCTGGTTATTTCGAAAGGTTCTCTGTTTCACGTGACTAACACGTGTGGGCTCTCCATTGTTCATTGTTTCGCTAGGCTGAGGGCCTGAGACCCTTCGCGACGAAGTTTCACGACGTCACACGCTCCCCTTCTTCCCCTTTTTTTTTCATTTCCCCGCTTTTCCTTGAGTTTCACTTTTCCCTCTCCCCTGGGCCAGGATTGCGCGCGCAACTTTTGGTCCGGTGGGGTTGCGGACCCAACCCTTGGAGTTAAATTTAAGTTTAAGTCAGTTCCATCGTGGAAATTGGTGGTGAAGCCTTCAGCTTCCAGCTTCTCTCTTCAAATAGTTTTTCAGTAGAGTTTTTCTAGAGTTTATTAAATTCATTTTTTTTTGTAGTACAAAGTTTAAAGTCTGAAGTTGAAGTATTTTGAATAAAAGTGTTTGTGTGCTCTCTTAAGCACTTGTGTTGAATTTATTTCACAATTCAACCCTTCCAACCAAATATTCTGGGATTAAACAATTGGACTTCGATGGAGTGCTCATCAGAGCTTTGGCGGCAAACGAATCTACAGTCAAAAATTTATTGGCGCTACTGTCCTCCTAGTTACTTCGGTAGGACATAACATAAATCCGCCTAGGGAAAAGCGCAAATCGCTTGAAATACATCTGCATTTTGAATATTCGAAAATATTAATATGAGTCTCTACTATTTTCCGGTTGGAAAAAAAAATATCATTGCGCCTATAAGGGGAAAAAGCGGAATAAAAATGAATCGAGGTGTATTGATTATTATTCTCTTTTTTTAAAATGAAAAATAGAGACCAATATCACTTTAGTGCTATAAGTTATAACATATTATCACAAACAAATATTATAGCTATTAATCTTTGGAAAAGAGTATTATACGCAATAAAATAATAAAAGTTCTGCTGTTCACAACTCGGCAGATGGGAGCGTACAGCTCTCAGCTTCGTCAGTACTGAAGAGTGTCAGGGTCTCTTCCAATACGTCAATCTCGTCAGCATTGTGCGAAGATCCAGGGGCATCGCTTTTGGGAATCTCGTACATTTTAGCGGTAAATAATTGGAACATCTGTTGAGTAGGCTCAAAGGAAGTACAACGGAGTTTTCTCACGTAACAATGAATACGAATCCTCAGAATCGCAGTCAACATATCGATCTGCATTTTATTCCTATACTTGGTTTTGACGCAATTCATCACTGAGAAAACTCTCTCGACCACTGCATTGCTGACTGGCAGCGAAAGTATTTTTAAAACTGTTCCAGCCAACTCCTTGACCACCTGTCGACCACTGGCATTTTTAAATGTATACGCATGAGACCAGAATTTGGATGTATCATTCAAAATTTCCCTAGAAAAATGGTCATTCCAAGGAATCAGATTGATGTCTCTCAACTGATTATCGATTGCTGTGAGATCACTGTCCTGGATGAATACCGGTGGTATATCGTTAATTGATGGTTTGGTGGCTGGAGACAAAACTTTCACCGATGCAAACTTTGAAACGTCTTTCAAGATTTTCAAATTGTTCGGCATACGGTTCACAAGCTGCTCACATAAAGTCAGAAGGTATTCTCTGCATCTTCGAGACACTTCTGTGACAACCTCTGGTGGTACTTTGTCATTTACGGCTGCACGATGAAATTCCACTCCCAGATCGACTTCGTCGATTGACTTCAGTGCTAGCGTATTATTCAGTGCTTCACTAATTACAGTGACACACTGAGTAGTTTGAGCTTTTTCAATGAATAAAGGTTTAATAAAACGAGTAGCCACTGAGAGAATGAGCGTCCATAAACTATCGAAAAGTTCATAAATATCGCGATCCGTGCTTTGAAATAGAAGATTTACTTCAGTGACTCCCTGGAGGATGGATTTCAGGAAAAGTAAGTATAAGTGATTGGCTGGATCGTTATAAATTCGAGCCAAGTGTCTAGCAGGTAGACATTTGTCCTGATTTTTAGTAGCAATCATAGAAAAATGAGTCTTTAACTCCAACCATTGATCCAGAATACGTCTCACTGCTCCATTATACGCCAGCCATCGTGTGTCGCATAGTTGTATTAGAGCCAACATTTTCTTGTTATTGTCATTGATAAGATTGAATAATGCCCGGTATTCTTCCATTCGTTTTGCACTCAGACAAAACCAATTTCGTGACTCTCGTATCAAATACTCCAAATGAGCAGGGAGAACGTCAGCAGCTTTCGAAGCACACAGATTTGAAGAGTGACATATGCAGCGAATGAGGATCAAATTAGGTAACGGTATGTTATCCCTTAACAGGGTAAATACCGAGTGATTAACGCCAACCATATTGCTTGCGCCATCAGTTCCAATAGCGAACAAATTTTTCACAGGAAGATTGATGCTGTTGAAGTATGACGTAATATGTTGATATAAACAGTTTGATGTGGTTTCTGTCACGCTCACGATACCCAAGAAGTCGGTGGTTATAGCTCCCTCTTTCTCACTGAAGTACCTGATACATAGAGCCAAATATTTCTGGACCGATACATCAGTCGATTCATCAATAATAAGAGAGTATTTTCTATCACCAATATCTTCCACGAGAGAACTCAATATTGTTGGAGATAGTACGTTTTTCAAAAGTTGAGAACATTTTGTTCGATGAAGACGTATGGACTCAAGTTGACTCTTTTTTCCCAACTTCTGAACAATTTCTCCTAAATGGTCGATGGTTCTGACTGCACTGTGTAGTGCAACAAAAACGGATAGTTTTATCTCTGCTAATTTCGTAGCATCTCCAACCACATTAATCCCGAACGTTGAAATTGGCCTTTGATTGTTGAGAGATTCAGCGAATCGACGATGTTTCTGGGTTACGGCGTGGGCCAGCAAATCTGTCTTATGTGCTCTTAGGCCTACTTTGCAAAACTTACAATAAGCTTCTTGTCCTAATGCATTGGGATCTGGATTCTTTGATATCCAAGCTGGGAAATGAGAAAAATCAACGTGAACAATTGGGATCACACTTACCGGAAGGTTAACGCTAGAGACATAATATTTATTCGTCTGAAAGAACGATTTACCCTCACCTGCCATCTCAGGTGCCAATTCCCAGGATTTGTTGTAATGTTTTTCATATTTCCCATGTTTACCCATTTTCATATATATATTTTGTATTTAAGTTGTGATCATCGATCAAAATCAAGTATAAACACGTAGTCTAGTCAAAATAGTTTTTTAATGGTCAGTTGACGTTCAGTGCTCGGGGAGGTGTCAATCGATAGATAAAAATTCTATTATTAATATTCTCTTTCGTATATGTGCGGAGTTTCCCAGTTAATTAATAATTAATTAAAAACAATCGAATAATTGTGCCAAGCCACTTTCTGTTCGTGATTTCTCCAATGTCACTCATTTAATCAAAAAGAAAAAAATACTACTTTGTAGCTAATAAAATTTGCTATCGAATAGAGTTAGGAACTTATATCGAGAGATGTACAGTTTATTTACGATAAATTTTACAAGTTCTTTTGGATAAATTAACGCCAAAGCGTCCGCCATTTAAGTCCCCCGAGTCACGTGATTCGCGCCATGCGCAGACTATTCAAACGTCCGCTCCGTGCATTCATCATCAACTCAGTTTTAACAACAGTGTAATTTTCTTTTTTTTTTAATTATTTGGACGCGAAATTCTGAGCACAGGGTCACGAGAATCGAAAAGAATATTTCTCAGTTTACAAATGGAAGGCCATACGTATAAAAATTGCGGTTTCTAAAAATTGGAAATGTCTATTAGCATTTAAAAAATGCCTTGAGGGTCATAATTGAAGATTTCAAGCTTCAAAATTGAGTCTTAAATTTATGAGCGATGAGAGTCAATCATCACAGTGATATCAAGGTCAAGTGGATAAAATTTGAACAAAACAAATATTAAAAAAAAAATAGAGGATTTATTTGTTTAAATTATTATTAACAGAAGGGTTCATCATTATTGTCTAGAAAAAGAACTGTTTAATCGTAAAAAATCCATGTGNAAAAATACCTTGAGGGTCACAATTGAAGATTTCAAGCTTCAAAATTGAGTCTTAAATTTATGAGCGATGAGAGTCAATCGTCAGAGTGATATCAAGGTCAAGTGGAAAAAATTTGAACAAAACAAATATTTTTTAAAAAATAGAGGATTTATTTGTTTAAATTATTATTAACAGAAGGGTTCATCATTATTGTCTAGAAAAAGAACTTTTTAATCGTAAAAAATCTATGTAGTCAATATTATTACAGGCCTTAACTGAATTTATTAATATTGTGAGTAGTTGATTGAAAAATTACAATCACGATCAACAAAATGACTGGGAGGATTAGTAGCATTCAGAGTATTGGCAGCATAGATACATGAAGATCCAAAAGTGCGGGCTTCCCTCACTCACATAATTCTGGATCCTTGCTTTCTGTAAAATAAGAAAAAAAATAGTTCATTAATTAATAGTCAATCAATTATGGACTTTTCATGAGCAGCATGATTTTGAAAAATATTTACCATTCATCCTTCGTTTTTTGCTTGTGCTCGGTCCACTTTCATCTTCAGCTTCATCGTCAGGATTTTCATCATAAACTATAAATGGGAAAAATTCATCATCATCATCCTTCCCAGTGGACACATTATCGATGTGTTGACTGAGTGTTGAATGGAAGTTGAAGAGAAGTTCATCATCCCTCATTTTTTTATCATAACTCATTATAGCTGAAGCTTCATATAAATTGAGATTTGCATATGATTCGCAAAATCCAAGTTTATTCAAAACGTCAACAAGAATTCTGGAACCAAACTTTCTCTCGAAATAAACACCAACTGCTAACAGAATCGATGAAATGAATGATCTTGGACGAAGAGCGGCTATTATTGCATGAGCGAGGGCATTTCTTTTCAATATTATTTTTGGATCGCGATTTTTTGAATTTTTAAAATAAATAGAATCTAATAGTAGAAGCAGAGTTTCGGGGATATCTGCTTCGACATTCTGAAGTAGCTCTTCTGGAGGTGGGTATGATGATGTCTCATATACTTGGCTCCGGACGTCCTCGCGTATTATAGCGCCAACAGCGCAAACAAGACGCTTTTTGTCCTCTATCGGATCTTTAGCCATTCCCTCATCATAAAATTTAGCCAAAATGTTGATGCCTGTGTTGCGGAAACAGATTACTGTTGGTTTTGGTGGCCTCTCCACAAACACAAGTTCACTGCCGTACTTGGCAATGAGTCTCTGCTTCAAGGTAGTTTTGGTTGTAGTCCAGCCCTCCATTTTCTCCAGCAAACTATTATAAGTGAATTGACACTCGCCACTCTCTTCCATGTAATGACACAAGCCTTCGAATGCCGCATCTAGACCAGGTAATCTCTGCTTTGGGTCTAAATTATCCTTAGTTTTATACCTAAACTTCTCGTAGCATTCGATGTGGTAGCGGGCTTTTTCCGTGAGCAGGTCCTTTCCTTCGATTTTCCTCCTCACCTTCTCGGACCAATCGTCGTTGCGAGCAGCGATTGATTTTATGATGCATTCCTGGGCTTTTGGGGTACATATCTTCCGGCACGGCTTATTTAATGGCTTCCAGGGTTTGTGACACAAAACACAATCGTTTTCGAAAGAGAATGGCGGTTCAGCAGGGACTGGCTGAGGAGCCGCTGATTGTCCTTCATCAGTCACTTTTTTATTCGTTAAATTATATGTCACTCGACACTTCTCATGGACTTTGGTTTCTACCAAGCCTTCTAAACACTTCCACTTGTCATCATCTTTCAGTTTACTTCTGGCAATTAAACCAATAATGCCTTTTTGTTTCACTGCACTCACTCGCGTATTGTTGTCCAGCGGATTATTACAAATGAAACAATTCGTTGGATTATTCATTTTTCACACAATTAAATATGTCCTATGTGTTCCCAAATAGTTCGGTGTACTAACTACAAACGACACTGGCCCACTGAACTGTTATTCCGAAATTCCCCTCTGCAGAAAGTCCCGTTGTTAGGGAGTGAAACGACGAGGGTCCAGACAGATGTGGAACACCTGCTCTCCAAAATACTATTGGAAGGGGGCAGGTAGGAAAAAAATCCAAGGAGACTGAGCACAATCGACCACTTCACACACTGAATTTTGTAATCTAGCGATGTTAACGTTTCCACTTCTTGAAGTGATTTGACTAGAAATTCAGGATGAGACAGTTTATATATATATTGAAAGAGGGGTGGGGCAGAAAACAGGGGCTATACAATTTGTAAATTGAGTCACGAGAAGTCCAGTCGACCGTTTTTGAATACCTGGAAATCCATGATTCATACAAATATGAATAATAATCTAGCAATCCCTTATTGTAGCCAACATCAAATATTTTGCCCAGGGGGAGGAGCACTAGCATCAAATATTTTGCATAGGGGGAGGAGCACTTACAGGTGAGATATCTTAGAAAGATGAGTCAGACCCCAGGGTCGTTGGATAATCCTTTTCAATGGAAATTTCTTCTATTATATTTATATTTATAAATTATTACAATTGAAATTCTTTTTGATTGAATTGTCATTTTTTTAAACTTTTTTTTAGTTTTTCGCTAACCCTGGAAAAGACTATTTTTTTTTAAAGGAAAGGGAATTTTTTTTTTTTTTTGAAATTCAAGGAACGTAATCAGAAGAGTAATTTTCTTAGTTTTTTAAGCGAACAAGGGCATTTTAAAGGCCTCAAAAGCGAAAGAATTTTTTTGTTTCTTTTTTTTTCAACAGGGATTTTTATATATAATTTTTTTCAACATTATGAAACTTAGGACAAATTTCTAGCGATTGAATGAGAAAAAAACAGAAATCACACATATTTTGTGGGAGTCACTCCCCTACAAGGACCCTCTATAATCTCTCCGAATATGGACTTCTTTTACTCTGCCCCCTGCTATTCAGGTAAAGGCCCAAACAGCAGGTCAACTGCTCAGCCCCTCTGTCTATTTCTTGAACCTTCGATTTTCCCATTATATTGTCATCACCGATAATTTTTACACTCAATTTTGAAGCTTGAAATCTTCAATTGTGACCCTCAAGGCATTTTTTAAATGCTAATAGACATTTCCAATTTTTAGAAACCGCAATTTTTATACGTATGGCCCTCCATTTTTAAACTGATAAATATTCTTTTCGATTCTCATGACCCTGTGCTCAGAATTTCGCGTCCAAATAATTTAAAAAAAAAAGGAAATTACACTTGTTAAAACTGAGTTGATGATGAATGCACGGAGCGGACGTTTGAATAGTCTGCGCATGGTGCGAATCACGTGACTCGGGGAACTTAAATGGCGGACGCTTTGGCGTTAATTTATCCAAAATAACTTGTAAAATTTATCGTAAATTAACCGTACATCTCTCGATATAAGTTCCTAACTCTATTCGATAGCAAATTTTATTAGCTACAAAGTAGTATTTTTTTCTTTTTGATTAAATGAGTGACATTGGAGAAATCACGAACAGAAAGTGGCTTGGCACAATTATTCGATTGTTTTTAATTAATTATTAATTAGCTGGGCAACTCCGCACATATACGAATGAGAATATTAATAATGGAATTTTTATCTATCGATTGACACCTCCCCGAGCACTGAACGTCAACTTGCCATAAACAGACTTTTTCACTCAATTTTTACTGGACTATAACGCTTGACAGTTGTGGAAACCGAAAGACCCCAATGGATGTCCGACACATCCCAAGTAGCAAACCTTGCGAAAGATATCTGAAAGTATACCAAAAAGGCTGTCCGTCCAAAAGGTATCTTGCAGTCATACGATAACTTTTAGTTAACTTCTAGGTAACTTCTAGACACAAGTTACCTTTTTGGACAGACATTAGACAGCCTTTTTGGTATACTTGCAGATACCCTCCAGCACTGTGCTGCTTGAGATGCAAACGCACGCAAAACTGTACCGACAAAAGGGGCAACTGGTGATGAATTATTGAACGAATTTGAATTTTTAATGATCAAGAAAATGTCATTTCGCTTGTAAATGACGTAACAGATTTGTTTAAAATAAAAAAAAAATCAAATTGAGAATACGCCTAAAATTGCATAATGCAAAAAAAAATAGCCTAATTGGGCGATGGGCTAGAAACCTCAATCTCATACCGCCTTCCCGACTTCCCACCGCGCCTAAACGGCGGTAAACCGCCCAATCTGGCAACTCTGCTGCCGAGTTACTCACGCACCCGACTCACATTTACCGACAATTCGACCGGCACGCCGCCTTTCCCGTCGGGTACCAACTAACTTTTTTGGAGTCAGTCAAACCCCCCGATCCGGGCCTCTACTCAGGTCTATCCTCTTTGGGTACGCTTTCGGCGTCTCGTACGCTCCCTGCCTTACTCACAAGTACGGCCGCAAAATTAGTTCATGCGCCACCGCTGCGAAATTTTGCGCTTGAAGCTTCTCCTTAAACGCTGGCAATCTCCCCTATAATCTCTGATATAATCTCTGACACAAATGCGCGAGTGTACACTTATTGCAGTGTGAACGAAAGTCATCGATAAAAAAATCTCCGTCATTTCAATCGTTAGCATTAGTACACCCTCGAGCAGTTCGTAAGTGTTTTTGTTGAGTTAGATACCACGTCCGAATGGTGTGGGCGGTGAAATTATTTTCAGTATCAATTGCCATTACGTGTGACGGGCTTCTTTGAAAGAGTGTTCCTTTTAAAATACCAAAACAACTACAAACATGTTTTGGACTAATATTTATGCATTATCACCACACATCGAGGCATTACTTAACAAAGAGGTGTGTATACATAATTGACATTAGGATTATGAGGCCGTATTGAACCCATCTGTGTACCTTATTTTATATTATCCAAAGCAATCGGCCATTGGAGATGAAAATTTTTGGACTGCTGTTTCCTTGACTTCTTTCGTATTTCTATTATTCTTTTTCTCCTCTTTTTCACAAACAACAAGCTTCTTAGGTCCGATCCCCACTCGTTGCATGTCATTGTCCGGCGGTTATGGAAATGGAAAGTTTTCCATTTTTGATTAACGACGATTGTATTTTATTCCGAAGGACATTACTCTGCACGAGTTAATGGACCAAGAAGAAATCGTCGCTGAGTGTAAAAGTCAGAACAAAAAATTAGTGGATTTGTAAGTATCAGCAGACATGGGATTGTATCGATTGTTATTGCTTCAGAGAGTTCTTGAAAAGTAATTGACTCCTATTTTTGTAGTTTAACAAAACCTGAAGTTATTGAAGAGTTGGTCACGTTGACTACCAAAGAGCCTTCTTGTGATGTCGAGGAACGCTGGCGTTACAAGTATCCGAATGTCGCCTGTGAATTACTCACTTGTAATGTACCTACACTTAATGAGAAATTAGCGGGTAATTACTATTATGTATTGCTTTATTTCTTGTCTTCCTTCGTTCATATTTGAGGATTTTGTCTAGTTTTTCTAAATATAACGTGAGTGAATATAACTTGTTGAATTAAATTTTGTTATAAAGAGTATGATGAGAAAATTTTGACATAATATTGTGAAAAATACTGTTTAATTTGAGGAATGGGAGTTAAATCAATTCTGTGCAAAAGTGAGACCGAAATTCATGCTGAATCCTAATTTCTTCCAGGTTCTGAAACCTTATTGATCAAACTGTATACGTTTATTGATACTGATAAACCCCTGAACCCCCTACTTGCCTCGTTCTTCAGTAAGATCATTGGGGTACTCCTAATACGGAAAAGTGATCAGGTAAGCATACGTATTATTATTCTTTCCCATTCGTTATGATGTTGATATTTGATTCCTGACGGAAATTAAATAACATCTATTAATGGCGTGAGCATAGTTTTGATGTTTGAATAATATATCAGTCGTTTTCCTCCCTTCCCCTCTCTCCAAACGTTGATTTCCGTCTACTCCAATAATTCCTCTCCACTCCACTTCCTTGTATCTACCAGAATTGGTATTCCTATCAGTTCATGTGTTTACAGGTGTTAGAATTCCTTAAGAGTCGCCAAAAATGTGTCGATCGACTTTTACAACATTTGGAAACATCAGCAATTATGGACTTAGTGCTAAAGCTCGTTACCAAAGTTGAAGGCGCTGATATGCGACAGAATATCTTAAATGTGAGATTCATTTCTTATTTTCGAATCTACTTTTTTTGATCTAGTTTATCTAATGGGCAATGGTGAAAGTCTTAGTACAGGCCTGGTCGTATTACCTTTCAAACGTTATCAACAGTGTGTTTGTTATTTCTTTTTTTTTGAATTTGAAATTTACAATTTCAAATTCTCATGATAATGTACATCAGACAGGAATTCCCAAAACCATGAGTATACAATAATAGTATTTTTGACACTGCTCCTACGTTCACCTCGGGCCGAAAAGTGCGTTTTCGTTTACTTGTAAATGAAAAAGGCACAGTTCGGCCACTCACTGAAAGTAACATAATTGTCAAAAAATATTTTTCTGTACTGACCTTCACTTCTCCTCTTCCGGTGATTGGTATTGGCCCTTCCCCAAACTCGTAAAAGTGAAAATCATCACGGAAAAATATCGGTCACGACTAGTGCCATGGGGTGCGTGTTTGGCCAGTCCTCGCCTTGGGATCGGCCGCCAATTCCATGCGAGTAAAAAACCCCATGGCACTCGTCCTGAAATCGACTAGTTCGACACATGTGAGATGGGAATTTTCAGCTCCTGTGATTGCCAACCCTCCACTTGGCCTCGGGCCGCCAACTTTACATTCGTGAAAATTCCGTCTCGTATCGAAATCTACTATTTTAGTGACTGTGGCGAAAATTTTTCTCGTGAATATGCGGTTGCAGGACATGCAGCGTGGTTGAAAGACTTCACGAACTGAGTAGCAAAAAACAAAAAGCAGAGCCAATCCTGAACACTTTCAGAGAGCATTCTCAAGCTTAAAATCTTAACCCCTCACGTGCAAGGTCGGTATGGGGGAGCGATTCTTACTATTTCTAAAAGTTTTTAATTTCTCTATCGGGAAGGAGAAATGATTGTAAGGACCGTGAAAATCAAATGTAAAAATTTTACATCTTAGGGTTTTGAATACCTTCAATTGCACTCTAACAGGGAGCAAGCGACCGGCCCCATTTTTTATTACACTCTCACAATAGAATTTGCGAAGTGCAACTTGAATGAAAATTGCAATACCCTTCCCGTTATCTGACACTAATCTCTTGCAAATAGCACACTTATTAATTGACAAATACTGACAATTGTCCATCATCCTATAGTGAAATAATGTCTACAAAATATTTTGGTATACTAGCCTGTGAGGAAATTTTGTGGCGAATATTAGACAGAAAAGTTCTTCACAGTCGAGTACTGAACTAGTTTCGACATTGGGCCATGAGGAACTTTTCTGACGATTATGAGGTTACTGGACGAGCTGAAGATGAGTATAAGTTCTGAAATCATATGACACAGAATAGTATATTACGCAACAAGTGCGTAATGGGTTTTACAATCCCACGAGTCAAAAAACACCATAACGCACGAGTTTCGTATACTATTTTATGTCATAGGGCCCAGAATCTGCGATTCTACCGAGTGAAGCGAGGTTAGAATCGCGTGATTCTGGGCACCTATGACATAAAAGTTTTTCATGGCCGTGTATCGAACGATACACTACGATAATCTACTCGCTTCGCTCAGTACGATCTCGGTTTTTGAGCCCAGTTACTAAAAATATTCTTTTCATCACGCTGTGACGAAAAGTGAACTTTTCGGCACGCTCCGCGTGCCTAAAAGTCCAATTTCCGCCACATTGTGATGAAAAATATCGTTCGATACTCGTGGGAAAAGTGTTTTTTGGCTCGTGGGAGGTTTATAGCACGAGCCGAAGGCGAGTGATATAATCCCACGAGCCAAAAAACACTTTTCCGCACTCGTAACGAAATATACTATTTCGTGAGAAGGCCCGGTATACCGCGATTCTAACCTCGCTTCGCTCGGTTAGATCGCGGTTTACGGGCCTTCTAACGAAAAATTGCATTCATCACACGGTCCAAAAGTATTTTCTGACATGCGATTATAGATTATATACAAAGCCACATTCGTCAGAAAATACTTTGTGGACCTGGTGATGAAAATAGCTATCGTTACAATGTGAAACAGTGCTTTACGGACTGCGCCAAAGAAATATGCGATAAATCATTTTTATCCCCATGCCAATCGAGAGCGCGGGGGGGGGGG